AAAATAATTGCGACTTTTCTGTGACTTTGACAAGCTTCTCTTCGCACCGCCCTCACTACCTGAGGAAGTCGGCAAAGAGATGGCTTAGCGTTTGTAATAAAAAGAAAACAGATTAGCAATATATTTTGCTAGTTGCGCTGGAAAGCCACTTCAAAGGTCATAAATACTATAGCTTGTATGTATGCGCTCTCGGTACATGCAGTCGACACGGAGGTCCTTTGAAGTTTACTGGAAAAAGGAGAATTTTCCCCCGACAAATACTCCACCTTAAAATCTAGCGACCTTTGGCATATACTTACATCTTCGTCAAATCCGGTAAATTGAACGAGATAACTCACGCTCTCAAAAGTGCTTTACGACAAGTCCGTGGAAGAGAACGACTGCTGGGAGAGCTCGCGATCAAATACTCTAGAATTACGCAATTTGTTACGTCACTGTGGTAATCAGCCAATCAATGCAAGCCAACCGCCCATAGTGGGACTATTCATCGAAATGTGGGAGGGAAGGGTTAGTAAATCAAATCCAGCTGCCAGACCCGGGTGGGTTGTTCCCCTCCGAATGATAAACAAGTCCTATAAATTCTCAAGAGTTTGACAAAACCCGGTTGAATTACCCAGTGGTGGCTTCGGAAAGCAGACGTATTTTCGGTCGTCGCCGCCCTCCACCCGGGTGGAGAGAAGGGACGACCGGAACCGGAAATAGGTCAGTTCATTTGATTACATATTTACAATGAAGTGATAACAAAAACATAAAAGAAGGAAAAGGAAAAAAAAGAGCAAAGAGGGTACATGGTTACATATATACAAGAGATTCTCTCTTCAGCTTAAAACTGCATTAACTTTTAAAAATATAAATATTATCGAAGGAACCGAACTCAGCGGAGGCTTCTCTCTTACTTTCTGGTCTGTGTTCGGTATCTGAGATTGATTACTTACAAAATCTGGGAAGAGTAGAGCTTCTTCATTTAATTTGGATTTGTAAATGTTATACGCGTGCGCTCGACGATCTCTAAAAAGAAACTAGAGGATCTGCGAATAGGCCACTTGTCCCCATGAAGCCTAGATACTGAACTTCCTCGAATAAGCGTCCACATATTTTTCCGGGTAAGCCTCATAGGTATCATAAATTACCTAGTTAGCCCCCTTCTTCAAATAAGCGCAACCCTTCGAATTTGTGCTGGAATTAGAGCTTCGAATTAGTGGCTAGAAATGTTAAATAAGCGCCCGGGCACTAACCCCATGTCATGTCCTCCTTTCTGAATACACGGTTTACAGTTCGTTAATCTTTAATGAATATACCTTAATATACAGATTTAGCCAGGGCTAAAAGCGAAGCTCTCGCTAATATACTTACAGTTCACTGAACAAAAAATCCAATCATGTAATACTAAACGGCGACGACAAAAAATCAAAAGGTCTAAGAAGCTCTGCTGTTGATTTGGACGACTACAAGGTGAATCTTCCTAGTTACATGTTTTAAGGAGGATATGTCGTAGGTGCTCAATTTTGTTGCTTCTTTTCCTCTTCACTGCCCCTCATTTTCACCTTACTGGCCGCTAGCATTTCTCATTTTCTCAACACACTTACAGAATTTTCAAGTTTTTCTTCTAACGAATTTCTTCTCCTTTGTTTTTTGTCTCTCGCGCTCGCACTTGCTCTTGCTCGCTCTTTCTTTGTTATTCACGTCAGTGTAGACATTAAAATGTAGTCGAAAAAAGACTCGGCTTTGTTGTTGTTGTTGTTTTCCGTTTAAAAGTCCGGGTGGCCATGCGATTTACCACCAATACGCGTGGGCGGGAGCTTGAATACGAAATTTCACCCCGGCTTACAGGTAGGGGTAGATGTTCGTAGGGACGGACGGACGGTCACGTGAATACTAATTTTGTCGCATCCATAGGTTTCCATTTTCTGTATAATGGGGGCTCCGCTAAGCGCACTTAACGCGCGCGAGAGCTCCGCTAAAATAGGAAATTAACGCCTTATGAAATTAAGGTATTGCTAAAATGAACGCGACTTAAATTAACGCTAAGTTTTGAAGTTTGCGTTAATTTCGTGAAGCGTTAGTTCTCTATAATAAGGTAACGCATAACATGTATAATCGCTGGAATGTGACCCATTGAGGAATCACACTGTGGGGTGTCACGGACGCAGGTACAATAGGTGAATAGCACAGGATAATCATATTTGGAATGTTCTTTTAGTGTCCACAATTAGCTAATATCTAGCTAAATGCTCAGACACCTAAATAAAGTTCATTCATTCATTCCCCATGTTACCGCCCAAAAGAAATGACCTTACATTCACTCTTACACAGGCGCTGGCTATAAAGCCAGTAAGCTCAAAAATGTCCAAACCACTTACACAGGCATTTTTTTTCGCGCGATTAAGGCTGCAACTTGGGTGCAACTCCGAAATCGTTCGTTTTAAGAGCCCAAAATGTTCCCCAAACAAACATTCAGTGACTATTTATAAAATCCCAGTGGGCTGTGGGGCAATTCTTTCCAATACCTTTATTTGAAAATAATTTTGAGCTCAAAGAGAAATGATTATAGCGCACACTAACAGCTGAATAACTCTCATTTACTTTATTGTCATTAACTGTTTATTAATACACAATTCCATGTCCATAATTCCAAATACTGTATACAAGGACAGACTCATTTGAGCCATAGAATTACAGAACCGCATATTCTTAACGAACATTTGGCATGTTGATTCCTTGACAATTTGATCCGTGACAGCCCCCACCCTCAAGACAGTCATGTGATAAACTGAAAACAGATAAAACATCGTGGCCTACGACCAGCGCACCACAATGTGTCACGTGTTCATTGCTCTACATACAGAGAAGTCGTTACGTCACGTTGCCATGGAAGCAAAATTTCCGGATCTCAACAAACCGTTGTCCTGCAAATATGACACGAATGACTTTCCTGTGCATCATTGCACTCAGGAACAAAACGGTAACCCATACTTTTTCTTCCATGGTTTTGACAATGCTAAATGTCATCTCTGTCAAGAAAGATTGTTGAGATACAGAAATTTTGCCAACATGGTAAAGTGACGTCACGCTTCTCTTGAACTAATCGCAAATTGACATTTTTTGCATTCTTAGGCAGTCGATTTGTCCAAATTTTCGGGAAAATCCTCCTTATGAGAGTAGAGACACTTTGCAATACAAACTGGCAGCATCAAGTCATTAAAAATGAAAAAGGAACGCTTCCAGTTGACATGCGTCGTTCAAAGACGACTTTGCTCGGTGTTTCTTAGTGTCGCGGAAACCATTGTTCGTTTGCTTTTGTTTTGTGGTGTTTTTATTATTCAGTGTCTTTTCAATCATTTGTATTTAGTCATTTGGTGATAGCACCCGTCCGTGACACCAAGAAACTACCACTTTGCTTAAGCTCCCTAACACAAAAAAGAAGGCTGCAACATAACATTTTCCTATACAAGCCTCCATATGGGATCACTCCTTTAAGCAATAGACCACACTTTCTATGGGTTTACCGGCGTGATAACCCACGCGGGATGTTGGAAGAACGTGAGAAAAGCTTGTAAATCACGAGCCGAAGGCCAGTGATTTGCAAGCTTTTCGAGTGCTCTCCCAACATCCCAAGTGCGTTATCACGCTGGTAAACCCTTAGAAAGTGTGGTCTATTGCTTTTATAAAATAACTTTAATTAAAACTATGAGTTTACCGGCAAAATAAACCATTGGTTTTTAACCAATCAAAACGCGCGTACTATCTTAGTTATTTTATAAAGTACCATGAGCCATCTATTTGTTTGTCACGCAACGCTTCTCTCTAAAGTTAGCGTTGCGTGACGTTTAAATAACAGCTGCACAGAAAACTAATTGCTGCCGTTTTCTGTAACTGGGAAGTAGGGAGGGAGGAAGGCAAAGAAGGAAAGGAATAGAGAAAGAGTGGAACCTGGGGACCTCCTGTGAGATAGTCACATAGGAGCACAGGGCCCGCCCGGATTACTTGTGTTAAGACTTCATTTAACCTAGGGTTAAAAAAGATAGCGTGGTAGCACGTGTTCCGATCAGAGAGTTTAAGCTTCACGTAAACGGCAAACGTCAAACGTCAGATTCAAATTGAGAATTTCTCAAAATCGAAAAAAAGCAGATAAAAACAGCTCAAAACAATTCTTATGGATAAGAAATTGCGTGAAACTATTAATTCAGGTGTAGAAATAATGAACAGTAAACGACAAGTTAAGAGGAAACTTGGTCACGTGGTACAAATTCGTGTTTGCCGTTTGACGTAAACGTGATGCTTAACTTCTCTATTTTCTTTTCTAGGCCGAATAGGTAACTGGAGTTTATAAAAATATTGTTGAATCTTTACCCAGAGATCCAGTTACAGAACGTAAATCCACAAGAAATGAAACCCAATCATGGGTTAAAATCTTAAGGTTGAGATCCTGACTATAACCATGGAGTAACTCCATAAATTAAACAGTGAAGAATACGTTACGCAAATAAATACTAAAACAGCTGTCGATGTTAAAAAAAAATACGGCTGCGCTTCAATCGCAATCTTTCAAGGACTACGCAACTTCCAAATATTCACAAACATAGTAAAAACCCGCACACAAGAAACTGGGGATTAAGGACCCCCAAGCAGAAATTTGGCCGAACATACACCATCAAGAGAGAATTTTAAGAGCAACTCTCTATCCTTGTAAAGAGCGATTTTAGCCTCTAGCGAAACTTGGGTGTCCTTAAATGGGTACGGGTTCTTACTGTATAAAATGTCAAGAATACCAACGTTTCTGCATGTGAGTACGAACGAAAAAAAAAACCTTGATTTCTAAAACTATTTCCTACACCTTCCTTTACAGCAACAACAATAAGTTGCCAGCGATTTATCAGTTATTAATAAAAGATGTATTTTTGCCCCACTTACGTTACAATTCCGGTTTAGATTTTTACCCATACAGACAGTATAATTATTTTGCCACTAAGAAATTTACACTCCTATGGCGTAAAATAATAACTCAATACAGCCAATTTTGATTACAAGAAGCTACATTTTCACAAAATACTTAACAAGTATGTAGTCTTTTCAATGTTGGTCTGGACAGATAAGTAGTTTTAACACCGTGTATTTCTTCTAAAAATAAACTCTTGCTCTTGCAAGCAGGTGTCTATTTCGCCCACTTTAGAAGTTACTTTAAAATTACGAAGCTGAGAGCAGTCATTGCACAGAGCGGTCAAACGCCTCAGTCAATGCCACTTCCGATTCATTTTTACTGTGATTTTCAGCGCTATTTAAAAATCTCACGAGTAAAACGAAGATTTCATGGTGATTTGTCGCGCGAAGCATTACCCGCAAAAAGGGTATTTAAAAAAAAAAATTGGACAATACGTCTGGTGCAAACGGCTCTATTCATACTAAAAATAAAATACGACGAGCATCTCGGAAGAAAGTCATGGGAAAAGATGATCACCATACCTTTAACTAAGAACAGACAAGCTTGCTAACAGTTACTAAACCTAAGTTAAAATCTAGGAGTATTCTTTGTGAGTGTGAGTCGCAATACACCTTAGCGAGAATTCTTCACTAGATCTGGTATTTTACTTACTGCGCCTGGCTTAGCTACTGGGCATGCGTTGCACGCTTGACCGCTGTCAAAGTCTAGTCAGTTACGCCTTTGGCGTAATATTTACTTTAAATAGCTCTTATAATAGATCCAGGGATTGATGATAATCACTTACAAAAAATGTTACAATAAAATTTAATTTACGCACCATTAAAGCCAACATTTCTGATCCTTGCAAATTGTCTGTCGCTGTTCAGTTTTTTCTGACCAAATCCCTGATTTCATACAGCGGTAGTATGCGTGCGCAGGTTTCTTATTTAGACCCACTGGACACCACACCTCGAAAGCTCATAACTTCTTTAATCTCTCCAAAATGTCGTGAGCCTCGTTTTCTAATTGTACCTCATTTTTTTCGCCACCTCTCCTGTCGTCTCTTCTTGGACGATTTCTCGAGGGAGGAACTGGTTGATCATCCACAGGAATATTAACCGAGTGATGCTTTTGATCGATCATGTCTTGGGCCTCCATTATTTTTTGCACTGGTATATTTGTGCGAGTTCGCGAGCGCATCAAGTCAACAGGTCGAGCTGTTGAGGTCAAAAAAGTGTTTCAGTGTTAACCAGTGTGGAACCCTGGGCTATTTTCGAGTTACCCTAAACGATCACCAGGATAAGTGCGATGCCTTTGTTATCAAAAACTATTTTCCATCCCTCATTTAGATATGACTCATTTTCACATCAAAAGTTCTACCCCTTGCCTAGGTTTTGAAGTGAGGGTTTTTGAAAGTTGTAAATGTCCTACTGTGGAAAAAAAAATCTTGCAAAACAAATAACATACTGCTCTGTGTAACAGAAACAAACTTTTAGACAATTGATTACGTTAGCACATTTTGTGGCAGTATCACATGACGAGAGACAGGTTGCGTGACTAGCGTGATCTCACCTTTCTTGCCTCCTGCCTTCTTCCTTGCGGGTCTTGAGGGATCTCTAAACGCAGATCCTGTGTTAAGAGCTTCCATTAGTCCGTCCAACACTCCCTCTTGGTCATCATCTACAAAAGAAAACAATTTGTAGGACAACAATACAATACCGTTAACTAAAACAATTGGTCTAGACCGATAACCTTACCGATCATGAAAGAGCACCTGTTTCACCATAAAGATTTTTAAGAACATAAACACTTTACGAACCTGCACTCATGTCGACAACAGGTTTTCTCTTGGATTTCTCTGCCTCCATGCGCTTTTTCCTTTCTTTTTCTTTTTCCTGCGGAAAAAAAGACTCTTAAAACCCTGGTGTAGAGCTGAGCTAAGCACTCACATTTGTAATTCACAAAACACTTTAACGAACCAATCATATTTTGACAAGAACGTACGTCAGTCAAACGCGGGAAAGTGTACAAGGGTCTACATAAATGATACAAGCTACTTTCGCAATTACTCTTACAATATCAAAATGACGATAGTTTTCAAGAGTACACACAACCACTTAAAATGAACTTCAAAATTTTCCTAAGAAAATCATTGCACAGGCGTTGCGATATTCTGCCGCAAATCAGGTGAAGTAAAGTTTTCCATGAGTGACTATTTTAGTCCTGATGAATTATAAAGGGAAACAAAAAAAAAATCAACTAAACAAGAAAACTTAGGGGAATTATTTTCTTACCGCTCTTTCTTTCGCTTTTCGATCCTTTTCTTCTTTTTCCTTTCTTTTGGCATTCTCCTTTTTCGCTTTCTGCGAAGAAATCGAACAGCACGGTGTATAACAGCTACATGCACTTGTGCGGGCGAAGAAAACAGATTTAAGAAGCTATGCTTTTACAGGTCAACGCGCGTTACATGCCAATATATCACCTCGAATTTCATTGATTTACCTCGAAGGCGTCCAAGAAGGTTTTGATATCACCAAAAAACTCTTCCATGGATGTCTTCTTAATGTCCAAACAGAAAAATTCGACGAGTTCCTTGTACATTGTGGTCATGTTTTTGTGCATCTCAACAAGAACATCGATTTGATCCTTGGCGCTGCTATAAAAACCGTGCGCGCAGTTAAGGAAAAGAACTGCATCTGATCATGTTATGCATTTGGGGGCATGAAGGAAAAACTGAGATGAAACTTTCCTGCGGTACTTTTCATTATTCTGTACAAGGTGGTTCTACCTTTTGAGTCTGTGGATGAAATCTTAAAGTGTGACCATTCAAATGAAAGCTACTGAGCAGTAGTTTCCTGTGGTACTGTTTGCTATTCTATACAAGGTGGTTCTATCTCTCGAGTCTGTGGATGAAATCCTAAAGTGTGACCATTTAAATGAAAGTTTCTGAGCAATACTTTCCTGTGGTACTGTATATTATGCTGTGCAAGGTGGTTCTACCTTTTGAGTCTGTGGCTGAAATCTTGAGCTGCTACCATTCAAATTGGAGCTACTAAGCTGTACTTTTCTGTTTCACTTAATGTCATTATATGGTGCACAAGAACCGTTCAAAGAAAGTCAAAGAATGTAAGAAAGGATATCTTCATAACAGTCAGGAACTTATCCTCCGGGTCGTTAAGTGGCTTGTAAGTTTCTAATTCTTTTTCAAGCTTCTTTAAGTTTCCTTGCATGGAATTGATCGACTTCTGCAGAATCTCGTCCGACACTAAATACAAAAAAAATATGAAAATCAACTTTGGCTGTAACATGAAAACGTAAAGGAAGGAAATATGGGAGCCTAGTTATAGGACGTTAACCGGAACCCTTCAGTTTTTTATACTTGTGGCTGAAATGTGTTTGGATACTAAATTGGTATGCTACAATGAAAGTCAAAAGAACTTGAGACACTGTGGAAATCTGCCTAGTTATATAGGACTCTGCTCCAACTGGCAATACTTTGATCGGATTTGGGTTCATCTCTTCGACCCCACCCCCACCCCCACCCATAGACACACACACACACACTGTCCAATCCTGCAATGTTGCGCTGAGGACTCAATTTCACCCTTTTTGCTCAAATTCAACATTGTTTTGGGTGGGTGGAGGCACGTCATTAGTTTTACTAATATCACTTAAAAGGTCCTAACACATTTGACGTCCACAGTAGTGCAGCCTTTGCTGGGTAATATCAGTTAGTGGGCAGACGATCTCTTTGGCAGCACTACTTACGAGAAATAGATCAAAACGGCCTACCAACAAACAAATAAACAATCAAACGAACGGACGGACGGACGAACAAAGAGCATACTTCGTGGCTTTAGAGGGAGCTTACAGAATTACAAGACTTAAGCAACAGCGACGTTACCAACAACAAATCAGACTTGATCAGCAAAACAACTGCACCTGCATAACTCCTCTGCAAAACTACGTTTCACAAGGGGGTGTGAACACACGACGACAAGTTTTTTCCTATCTATTCTCCACTTTGCATATGAATCGTAACAATTCAACTTCAAGGAAATTCGCAAGTTAGGAAAATTGGGAAGAAATTTGAAAAAAACAAAAAAAAAACAAGAATTCACTAAATTAGTGCCCTTTTGACTGATGTCGTAATCGCGATCAGTTTCACATAGGGAAACGCTGAAAACATGTTATTTTCAAATGGTATCATAGTCTTTTTGCTTTGACGAAAATTATAAACGTGGTGGGGTTGACTTACCTCTCGCCGCTTGTTCTACATGGGTCAACTCATTCTCAAAGCCTGAAATCTCTGGATATTTTGTTTCAATTATATCTTCAAGAAAATGCACCAGCGTGGCCTGCCCGTCTACTGATTTCGTTGAACTTAACTGCAAAGCAAAAAAATGTTTGATCGTTGCAATGCTACTGTGCATTAAAACTGAAAATGACGACAGAAAGTGGTGTAAAAAATACAAACACAAAGATACTTGAAATTAAGGTTATAGCGCACACAAACTTGTGCTGTTTACGTTTGAGAAGAATAATTTTGATCACCAGGATAGTCTCTACCGCTCGAGGCGTCTCAAAATATGTTCAGGCGATCGAGATCATTGTATGGAAACTCTCTGACGTGATGCGGGACGATTAGGATAATTGAGGCAATGCTCGAAATCCCCTCTACGACGATCGCCCCAATCATTTGCGGGTCTATATAAACTTGGCTTTCATACAATAGTCTGGATTTTCTTGATAGTGCAATCGCCAAAAAGAAGGGCAATCGAGTTGATCGCGACAGGCTTCGAACACTTTTTCACGCCAAAAATTGATGCAACTGCTTTACAGAAGCCTTGTGTTAAATTTCAGTGACCTTTTTCGAGAGTTTATGCAGAATCGCTGAAAAATGAGAGCTTGAATCATGTAAACGCGTACAGGCAAAAAGCGCATAAATAAACACCTGTTGTTACTGTAAAGCTTATATTTAAACAAAATTTGAGTACTTTTTACATTTCATTTTTAATTACATTACTTTTTGTCAATACAGTAGACAAATGACCCTTCGGATATTCGAAGCAGCCCTATCCTACGCTATGACATTAATAAATTGACTGATTGATGTGAATAACTTACTTTGGTGAGATAATTCATTTCAAATCCCATTGAGCCTTCGTTTCTTGAGCCAGCGTTCATGTAGTTACCCATGAGAAGCACTAGTTCCAGGAACTTGGCGAATTTAGGGCTGGTTTTCACCTCCCGACACGCTGCAGTTGCATTGACGACACTCTACAAAAAAAATAAATCGAATATGATTAATATATGGTGGGTATCAATCAAAATTCGAAAGAAATTTCGCGATAACTGCCGCACTTCTGTTCTTCAGACCAAACGTGGTTGCCCACCAGCTTTACCGGTTTTTTTCCTCAGACATTTTTTAAAATAGCTCAAGTCATTCTGTTTGTTTTCTAGTGGTTAAGAGCTATTAGAAAAAGGCAACTCTTGTTTACAATGCCTTTCTCTTGTCTATTTCACACAATTGAAACCAAAGTAATACCTTCAGCCAATCAGAAATCTCATTAACTATTAATTGAACCAATGAGAGTTCAGAGCAATTCACACAGCCCGCGGAAAGCGCGGGAAATTGCTTGAAAGCGGCCAGAGTTGTTTTATTTTCGCGTTTCAGCTTCTGAATGGATAATATACTGCGAAGCCAACAGCAAGGAGAAGCAATGGGTAAAACAAATACAACCAAAAAATGTTTTTCCTACGAAAAATAAATTATATTGACATCGATTCGAGTTGCTGGGAAATTAGCTTACAGTTACTACAGCGATTCGAAGCCTGTTTTCAAAACAGAACTTTGCTCATTATCCTTCAAGATAAGCCTGCCCGCAAACGTCTCGTTTTTCTTTTGTAGAAGTCTGCACGCAAGGTGCATCAAGATACAACTACTCTCTGCAAGTATTTTGCTGAAAGCTCCAACGCTTGAAATGTGTCGAACCTAACGCTAGGAAGCAACGAGCTTACCGGTTTTATATCTTGCATATCTTCCGGAAACTTCATCTTGAAGAGAATCATGTTTAATCTAGATTCCAACTTTTTGATTCCGCTTAGCTAAAATGACAACAGTTTAAAAGTCAGTTCAACCGAAATAAGGGGAAAATGCACTGATCATATATAATGTAAATAACGTCAAATGCAAAGCTTTATCAGTGCTTCCAGGTTTTTACTGTCTCGGGCTCGCTACACCAAAAAGGTTCAGAAACTAACGACGAGCTTTTACGCATGTTTTTAGTAAACAAGTTTCAGATAAACGGGATTTACACTGTACTAGATGTACTCCACAGAAAACAGACAATGCCTCTGAGTCTCAAAATTTTCTTTTTTATGTTTATAAAAACACATTGACGAGCATTTACCAAACAAGCAAACTGTTCAGGATCACTCAGATCATCGAAATTATCCTTCATGTTTCCAAGTTGTTGCATCTGGAGGAATAAAGGAAAAATACGTCAGTGTCATTTGCTGCTGCTTCATCCCGTTGTGGTTTCGCCCTCGAAAGTCTGCTCTCAAGCAAAGGGAGGTACGATACGAAAACGGCAACGGCATAGAAAACGTCACTGAAAACTGCCTTCGCTTTCTTTCAATTCAAACTTTATCGCGGCTATTCCACTCGTCTCAAGTGGAGACCCATTTTAGTATTCTATTGCATCGCCACTCAAGTTCTCAAGGAAATTTACATCTTGGTAAATTCACTTCGTTGTGACTGAGGAAGGCAAAGGAAACTCACAAAAGAGTTTCAGTCTTTAAAGTTCCTTCTTCGCCGTTGCAGTTTCGCAAGGTCGCTTATTACACACAAAAAAACATGCGGACCCATGCACTTACACTAAAAATACAGAAACCTATGTATAAATGGAGTAATAGTAGTAGAGGCCTAGTCTTGCGTTTCTATCGCTAGCAAATAAAACTGTTTGAAGGTGTCTTTGGATAAGGACAGATAGGAAGAAAAAACACCAATTTTAACAAGTTGGACCAGCGCTTTCGCTGTGCTACTTGCGAAAATCGCTCAAAAACCACTGCTTATGGTTTGCCTTCGAACTTGAATGAATAAAGGTGCCTTCAAAAACAAAAATTTTTTAGGAGAATTCTCGTGACTTCAACTAGATTTGCCGGCTCACCTGGTCTGCAGAGGGTAGATACTTCAGTAAAGAATTGATCGCACTCTCTGTTAAAACGGTCTGGTCACAATTTAAAATCAACTTCTTGACTTCGTGGTGAGATAATTTAAGTGAGCCAAGGAAAATTGCTGTGTAACGAAATAGTAAGAAATAACAGTTAGCATCCCAGAATTTTGCCAGAAGTCCTAGCTTATTTGTTCGCCTCACACTATAAGCTGCTAATCCAAGCTCAACTCTTGCACATATAGCAAAAACCCGCCACTAAATACCGGCATTTTCCCAAGTTACCCTAAACAGGTTCTTACATAGACGCTAATCAGCACAAATTTAGGCTATTTAGGTTCTTAGATAGGTTCTTATTTTCTGAAGGAAAGAATACAATATTAAGCTAAGAGTTTTTCGTTGTATCCAGCTTATTCCTTACATATTATCTGCGTATCATTATATTGCAGTTGGAGGGATAAGACACATATATCCAAAGAGGATTCTGAATGTTGACTAATCTTATTTGCCCAAGTGTACAGAACTTTTTTTTACAGGGTTTAGAAATAAGAACTTGTTCCAAATTTTAGGCTTAACAGGTTCTTGTATAGAGGGGGGCTAACTGACAGGCAAATTTTAGTCAAGCGGGTTCGTGGTCTCAGGTTTTTAATGTACTTGCATGCAAACACCCAAATGGTCTGACCTAGTGATGTTCAAGTTGACTGTTGATTGCTTTTGCATCAGAGGATATTCCCTGGTGGATTTTCAGTCATACACTTTGATAAACAACTCATAGGTGCCTAAGCTTAGTTCGGGCCCCAGTTGTTCAAAAGCGGATAAGAATTTGGGACACCAATTACTGTATTCATTGGATAAAAATCTATCCAGCAGATAGCGCTGTCCACGTTTCGAACAACCTGGCCCAGTTTGACAGTGACGTTTCTTTATTCAGTGACACCGGAGACTTAAGAAACAAGACTTGCATACTACGCGTGTTTTGTGCTGCAGTGGTTTAAAATATTTTCTACGCTGAGTTTATAGCTCCTCCTATACCGAGTATGAACTATAAAAAAAAACACTTGGTTTGGCTTCCAATGAATGGAAAATCATGGTAAAGAAGTAGTGGCTCCCTTCACTCAGAAGTCGGTCCCACTGTAAGGAGAATAGGACAAGCAACGCCTTCTGGGAGATTTGTCCGCCATTTTGTCTTTTTTTCGACATAGACGCGACTCATTTTTTGATTGGGCCAGAGGCAGCGCAATAATAAATCCGAATACTCCCAATAGGAATCAAACCTATGACCTTCTGGTTACTAGTCCAAAGTCCATCTATCACTGAGCTGAGCTGACTTGTGGGAGCTAAGGCCACTAAACTAGGTTCACGTGAAAAACATCCTACACATTGCTAGGAATGGAATGTTCTAAGATTGACGTGTCAGTATTTCTTTAACACTAAAGCCAATTTTCGTTTACTTTAAGCAACACAAACACACGAACAAACAACTTCTGTTGCACTTACAAAGGTTCTGTGCGCTTTTTGGGTCGATAACTTTGAGGTCTTTTCCTTTTTTCTTTGTAGCTGCCTTTCCATCCAGTGATTCCCCGCTTTGGGTTTTCTGTGGAGCGCTTCTTGCGGCAAAGTTCTTGGTCAGCTCAGCAAATAAGCCCGGCTTTTCCAACTTTTCTTCTTTCGCTTTTGCCCAAAAAGTATTTTCAGTGAAGTTCCTCATGTTTATCTGTTAAAAAGAAAAAAAAAAAACAAACGAGTTTATTACAAAAAATAATACAGAAAAATTGCTTTTACCCATAATCATTTAAGATTTAGAGTAGCCTACGTACAAAGCGCTAGAAAGTAGTGGGCGCATATTACTTCCAAGTGCCTGCTATGCAGGGTAGATTTAAAGGAGCCATGTCACGAGGATATTGTGGTTTTAAGTCAGTTCTGTGCGGAAGTCATTACTTAGCGCCTTTACCCAAACACAAAATGCTCCTGTGCAGTTACGTAAGAAGATATCAAACAAACTTCATTAAGGAGCACCAACCATAAAGTCGGCCCAATTTAAAACGATTGTCAAATAGTTTCTCCCCATCATGACTGTAGTTGTTGTGTTGAGTCAAACGCATTGGCCACGCCAACAAACTTGAAAGGCAGCTAGAGATATCACAGTGTAAAGGACACGCACCTATATGCGAATCTTAAGGGAGAGGTAACAGAAGTTTGTAGAGAATGAATGTTACAAACCTTATTCCAGTTAGCTCTCTTAGTCTGTACTTCCTGCTTGTACTTTTTCTTGGGGGTCACACCGGGAGGAAGAACAGGCCCTGGAGGGCGTGGTCCCATGCCAGGGAACGGTGGAGGGGGTGCACCCCCTGGGGGTGGTGGAGGTGGCGGAGGACCACCACCGGGAGGGGGAGGGGGAGGAGGTGGACCACCGCCAGGAAATGGTGGTGGAGGAGGGGGCGGGGGTCCACCACCGGGTGGAGGCGGTGGAGGAGGAGGCGGTGGGGCACCACCACCAGGTGGCGGTGGAGGGGGTGGTGGAGGTGGTGCAGCACCTCCCGGAGGGGGTGGAGGTGCGGGCGGACCGCCTGAAAAGCAAAGAGAGCTTTTGTTAGAAATGAGAGTAGCTCCTCCACTCCCAAACTAAGCTGTTTATCAAAGACGTTGTTTTAAAAAAATACCGCTTCCAGATGGATGACTGTGTTACATTTAGTTTTCACCATAACAACTTATTATTGAGTTTTTTTAACATTTCATTTATCTTTTACGCTTTAGTTTATAATTACAATGTTTAAATTTAACTCATTTTTTATTCAGAATCATGTGTCACTAAGGCTGATTAAAAGCTTTAGAACGTCCTCATGTGTCCTGAAATGACCTTATGTAAGCTTCACAAAAAGTCTCTTTAAGTGTCCTTCCCTCCATGATATTTTATTTTTCTGATAACAGTGACCAAAGTATTTACCAGTATTCTAAGAGACACGTTTCTACTTAAGTTCCTTACCGAGTATCGAACACAAACAAGCAAAAACTTCTTCAAAAAAATTCTACCAACTCCTATTTTACTAGTCAAAATATTGTCAGCTTCACACCCGTTCTTTGTATTGACACGCAACGCTCCTCCTTGAGCGTTGCGTGACGACACAAAGAACAGCTGTGAAGCAGACTAGTAGAAGTTCAAGTAGACACTCACTTGTCAGTAGAGGAGGTGGCTGAGGTGGAGGAGGGGGAGGGGGTGGGGGAGGAGTGGAAGAGGAAGAAGAAGAAGGAATAAAGCAAACACGAGAGCGCGGTGGAGCGACTCCCTCAGTTCTGCTCTGTGATTGGCTGACTGAAGGAAAGACACAGGATACAACATACTATTAATTTACTGCTGTTAGCTAATTTTAGGCATCGTTTAAAAAGACAAGAGGGGTTTTAGACAATATAAAACAAAAAAAACTATTCAACAGCTTTTAAAACCTTTCCAATAGATGGCTTTAGATATATTAGAACTATTTAGAAGTTTTCATTATTATAAGACGATGAAAATCTCCACTGTTGTAGTTTTCTTCGTTTTAATAACGTAAAATGTACGGTAGTTTGCTTTTAAGTTTCAATTTTTTATTACATAAGCTTTTTGTATTAAAATCAGTAGTTATAAATTGTTTTATGGTATAATAACAAGTGGTTATATTACGATAGTTTAACATTTACATTTTTATCAATTATTAAACTCTATAATGGGTAGTTGTTAATTCTCCTGATAGTTAATACAGAAACAAGAAAAGAGAATTAAATTCATTGTCTGAAAATGGACAACTTCTTATTTATTTCTTTAATAGAGAACCTCAAGAATTTAAATTATTCTTGAACAATGGACAAGTTTTCTATTTCTTTCTTAAATATAAATACTTCAGTTCATATGGTGCAAGATTAGTTACACGTGATTTCAAGGGACAGTAGGAATCAACTCGTTAAGATATCTTTTAAAAAAACAACCAACAAAGGAAAAAGTTACTTCTTTTAAGAAGTAACAGTTTTAGCAATATTTTCCTTTTACAATGAAGTTAGTTTGGTACCTTTCAATTGCCTATGATTAGTCACCTGACAGGTGAATTCTGCTCCTGTTTTTCCTATGTTTGATATCTAATCTAATGTACCAAAAGAAATCCTTTAGGAAAACTTACCTGCTGCAGGACCTCGTTTCTTGGCCTAAAACAAAAACCAATCAATCCATTTACATTTATCATTCACTAGGTAAATTGTTTAGTCTCATTATTGCCTATTTCACCAGCACAGATTACAATATCTTATAAGCAGCACAGTTGAAATTAAGCACTTGACTGCTAACACCTAATACATCATTATCACACCACAAGTTACCCAAGCTTTATGAGTTTGACCTTGCAAAGAATATACTGTATAATGCTGAATGCAGTGTCAAGTAATTAGGTCAAAAATCAGTCTGCTAGGAGAGAAAACTACACCTAATTTCAAAAACTGCTAACCTAAACTCCATTTTCGATTTCTTTGTGTGTTTGAGGCGATTCCTTAGAATTTCATCTCTAGCGGCATCTTCTACGAAACTCAAGTGTAGATGTTGTGGTTCAATTTTATCCTTGGTTCAAATTTTATTTCCCTTTGTTTTGGGGTATGGTAATGTATGATAATGAGTTTAAAACAATGGGAAATAAAATTTGAACCAATGATAAAATTGAACCACAACATAGACGGATATTTCCCCTCCCCCATAAAATTTATTGCTATTATAAATGGAACATCTTGACACTTATTAATTACATGACGCGGGTGTGTAGATTTCGTAAAGGTCAAACGTTTAGAGCTTGGCCTACCTTTGATCACACTCAGTTTGGTTAAGGCCAGTTTGACAGTGATTTGGATTAACTTTGACTCTATCATTTTGGTATTGTTCAAACACAGGGGAAATACAAAATTCACCAATTTTCTTATCATTACTACTCACTTAGATCATAGAATTAGTCATATTACTGTACAAAATTGTTAAGAATGCTCCAAAGAGGATTTCATCTCTTCACTTGATAATAATTTATAATATCATGGACAAAAAAGCAACAGTCACCTTCAAAAATACTGGACGAATACAGAGCTGTGCCTAATATTTCCAGTTGCTGGGTATATGTAGTTAGCAGGCAGTGAATTGAATGGCTAGGAAGTTCTTTTGGTTGTATTTTCCTTATGTTTACTATATGAAAGTAGATGGGGGCCATGCTCATTTCTGCATGGGGAGGTCCCCAGCCCATGAACCCTGACCCTAATAGTGACAGCCCTGGAAATACAAGAATAGATTCGCTCTCTTCACTAATCTCTAGACTTAAGATCAATAAAATTATTTTATTATCTAGCTTACTTCTTCCAGTTCTTTCTCCAGTGTGGCTATCTTGGTTTCATAATTGGTTGATGTCAATGTTAATTTGGCTTCACATTCCTGTCGCATTGTGGTCTCAAGCTCAAGCTGAAAGTTAAGAATATACTGGTTGATGCTATTATAATATGATAAACTTTGTTCTGGACCGCAGAGGGGAGAGAAAGTCAAAACATGACCAGTTAGTGCTAACGTATAAGTTTTGAGTCTGTGGATGGAATCTTATGGCATAACAGATTCAGATGAAACTTCTACAGTACTTTTTCAATTGTGTTTGATTTCCTGTATTTTATAGCATAAAACTTGAGATTTTTAACCAAGAAAACTGCCTGTAGTTGAGACTAGAGGTACATGTATCCACAAAATGGTGTGTCTGTAAAAATGGGTCTATAGATACCTTGGTTTCAAGCTGCATAGACTTCTCAGCAGCTTCCTGATACTGAGCTTCTTTAGCCAGGTCCTCTGTAAAAAGGTTTGGCTAAGTTAAAATTTTATAGTGGTCTGGTGGACTAATGGTATAAATCATATTTTTTGCCTCTAAATCCAAATTGGTCATTCTAAGCTCTACGTTAGTACCACGACTAGTTATTAGGCATTTTAAGCAACGAGTGTCAACCTGAAGTGGACATTTTACATTAGGGACCTTAAGCATTGATGACTAATGGGACGACAACGATGACCGACTGGAAGTGGCCAAGGCAACTTAAGCGCTACTGCACATGCTCGGCTCATCATCCACATGCTGTCGAGAACGTGAAAACCAGCAGATTGGCGTCCAGGAGTAAACTTGAATAAATTTACCTGTATTATTACCCCCCAAATTCACTTTCCTGAAAGAAATTTCACCTCAATTGCGTATTCGACTTTCGACGTATTTGTTCTTTGTATTTTTGTACTAAAAACACCAGAAAATCGATTGATATAGGTCTTCGTGAACAAGCACCAGCAAGTCGCAATGAAACTTTCTTTTTTGTGTTTTCCAGCTTTTGGCAAAGCAAAAAGGTTTACAGGTCTAAAAGATGCTAAATCATAACCTTAACTCTCGAATTTTCCCACAATGAGCAACATTCTCGACCCAGTCCTTTCACGGAAAAGTTCATTGTTGTCGTCTCTTTCGTTGTCGATGCTTAAGTTCCCTATTTTGGTTTTGTCCAAATTTTCAGGCAAATAGTCTCTATAAGAGTAAAGACACTTAGCAATGCAAATGTGATACTGTCAAGGCATATCAAAAGGAAAAAGACCTCACTTCTGGTTGACATCCATCGCCCAAAAACACCTTTGTTTTAAGCTCCTTATTATATATCAAAAACTTAGTACTGCAATTACCAGTACTTCTGAATTTCAAGGTTTAACTTCAAAGAATCGGCATTTTATTTGATGCCTAACTTGACTAGTATTCGTGAAATAACAAAGCTGCATAAAACTTCTTTGTTACAAGCGATAACTGAAATATATGAACTCATTCATGTTCAACATAAGGTACACTTTTAGACAGCAATTACAAAAAAAAATGCATGCATTTTACACCAACACTGTGAAATTAAAGAACACATGAATAATATTATTTAAATGTAGCAGAAGAAGATACAAAAGAATTATTAACCATATTATTTACCATATCTAACAACAAATAAGACAAAATTTAGAAATTACCTATGAGAGGATCTACTTCAATTTGAAATCTTCTAGTGGAGAAGTCAGGATCAACACCACTGCGATGTAGCACAATCTGAGAGATGCACTCTTCTATTAATTTGTAGTACTGTGGCCTACAAAACAAAAACAAACAAACAAGGGTATGACATTAAACAAAATCTTATATATACAGGGGAAAATACCATCACAGTAGAACTAAAATACCAATTCAGTGCTCGAAAAAATTCCCATCTTGTAGTCCGGGACAAGTAGGTTTTCTCGCTGGGCAAGAAACTTTTTCTTGCAACATTAAATCTGTAACTCACTTGTGGAATTGCATGCATTTTAGGCATCCTACTGACGAACAGTTGGGACATGTAGATATATTTTTTAGCAACTACTATAATTTGCAGTCTGTCTACTTTGAATTGGAGAGGGCGGGAGATTGTAACCTAAAGATTCAATGAATCTAGAAAAACATGCAGTATTCCTAGCATGACTCCTTGAACTTGAACTAGAAATGGCGATTAGATCCTTTGGGGGAAGATTCTCTTAGACTGGCCCTTAGCCAATAATAGAGAGATTAGAATCAAGTTGACGGTAAGTGGTAAACATCAGATTAAAGTGGACAATTTCTTAAATTAGGAAAATGAGCAAATAAAAACTGCCCAATTCTTTTAGATGAACCTTCCATGAAACCACTTGCATTTACATAGATAATTTATAAAAATGAATGGTAAAGGACAAGTAAAAGGAAAACTAAGTCATGTGGTACAAATTGACGTTTACCATTTGCTGTACACATGATTATAAATCTCTCTAAGATAAACACAAAAGTATACCTTGCGTAAACATCATCTCTGATGAGCAACAGATGTTGGAGAATGGAAAGGAACATGCTCTCTGACTGTGTATCTGAAACAACATTTACTAGAATCTGGTAGATCTCATTTGGATCTCTGATCAACTGTTAAGGTTTTTAAACAGAATTTCTCAACTGCCAAGAATTTGTCTTCAAGGTAATACATGTCCCTACTGAATATACAATTACGCGCCTGTTTATTAATTTTAAGCTGCCTTAGAGAAGCCGAAGTAGAATATTTTCTGAAAATACTTGCAGGCTCTGCAGTTCGCCACAACTTTGGAAAGCCTGCTGTAGTAAGCGAGGCCATAATACAATTTATGCAGTGGCAGAGTTAGAAACTTTTCAAGAAAAACTTCATAGCCTTTGCAATTAAATATGAAAATTTACTTTACACATAAACCAATACCTATATAACATGGGGAAACAAAACAAACATTTCAGTCTTAAATGTACTGATAGTGGTGACATAAATCTTTCATAATAAGTTCAACAGATTTTTCATGAAATTATTACTAACGAGAGCCCTTGTCAAAACGTTTAGTCAACAGGATTCATACAAAAAAAATATAAGTATTTTTAATGACTTTTCAAGAACTTTTCAATCACCACATTTGATTTTCAAGGACCACGTACCAGGAATGTAAGTCACAGATTTGTACCGAAATGTACATTCCCAGTCCAAGCTAACAGGACTTAAAGGCTTGAACTTTTTGCTCCATCACAGGGCTGCAAATAACGGCCGGTCAACGGACAATGTCCGGTCAAAAATAGGTTTTGTCCGGTCAAATCCTTAGATGGCCGGACAATTTGTCCGGTCGTCTAGGCTGGTAAGGAAAAAATTTAGAGTTTCAAGTTTTAAATATTTAAAGGTTCAATATTATTGGTGTTTGTGAAAAAGGAGGGGAAAAGATGGATACTTAACTACCAGACCAAAATTTCCGGCTGTCGTGGCTTTGTCATTCACCAAGTCGTCACCGCAAATTAGCGGGTCTTACAAATGTGTACCAGTCATGGGTGTGAATTACTTGTTTCATTTTAAACATCATGTGAAGGGGTGAGGGGGTACTTTTATAGCGATAAGACGTAATCAATGTTTGTCCGGCCAAAAATGGGATATGTCCGAGCAAAAATAGGTTTGACCGGACAATTTGACCGGCGCCAGCCGGGAAATTATTTGCAGCCCTGCCATCAATTTCTCTACATTTTTTAGTTCACTTGTCTTAAACTGATAGTTAATTCTTTCTTAAAACCCAAAAGGCGTTATGTAAATCACCTTTATATTCTCTAAGCTATGATCTACATTCTGTCTTGGACAACCAAAAAGCATTTAAAAAAACTTTTCAGGCCACTACATTCAAAGTCAAAGAAAATTACCGGTAAAAGACTTTTCAAGGACTAGCACAGAAATTTAAGGACTTTTTAAGACTGTGCGAACCCTGGTCAAATTATCCACAATCTGTGTCTAAGGATACTCAAAATTTATTGTAATGTCTTTCCATCTGTGCTGGAATTCAACTGAATCATCATCTCTGTGTTCTTCAAAGATATCCAACTGGACATTCAGATCATCATTTTCAAGATCTCTAAGATCCTACAATGTAGATAGAGAAAACAATGTAAAAAGAGAATAGCAAAATGAATTGCACCAAAATCTTAAAACCATTTTCTGACCCTTGCTTTTTTAACACTGTTGAAAACAAACCTGCAAAGGTTCCGTCATGCCCTCTCTAATGAACTCATTTCTCAGATGCAATCTAAAATCCAAGTCATCAGGGGTACTGACCAAAGCATTGATAAGCTGAACACATGCTACCTGGAGAGATAATAATAATAATAATAATAACAATAATAATAATAATAATAACCATGAAACATCTGCTGCACCAACATGTCTATTCTTGTCTAATGTTGCAACATTTGAAAACCCAAAAACCAAGCAACTTTTGAAGAAATATATTACATAAAGTTAGAAAAGAAACAACAACAACACCAGTTAAAGGAGGCAAAAGGGAGTAAACTTATGTTTTTTTAGGATATATGTTTACCTTTAGATTCGTGTGATCATCATTCAGAGCATCAACTATTTTGCTAAATCTTCCCCTGTTTTCCACTTCTCCGCAAATGGTGATCGCTTCTAAGGCTTTCGCGTGCCTGGAATTAACACATATCTGATTACTAGTGTTGTTTCGTTAAAAGAAGGCCACTTGTTTCATATAGCTTTAGTAACAAGTGCAATTTAGAAGTTTTGTAGCGCATGGAAGGTCTCATAGACACACTTGCTAGGTCCCCCAGTCCTGCCACAGAACTCCCAGTTTTGAAGAAGATTTCCTGGCCCCACAGTGAACTGCAATGTTCTCATGGCAAACTGATATAAAATTAATGAAAACTACTAATGAAATTTACCACCTTCCAGAAAAATTCATTCCCACTCAGGCAACTCTACCACTTGAATGTCATTTTGACCTACAACATTACACTGAACAGGGCTCCTTAAAATTATGCTATTTGTATTCATCATTCTACGTACAGAAGAGTTTTCTTTAACATTAAAACACATGTTCATAAGATTGACACAGTTGGTCACCTGACCTGTGAAGGCTGGCACCAGTATCCATATTTCACTGATACATGTACATACATCAGTCATGCCAGTTTAATGATAAAGAATGCTTCTCCAAGAAGGGAGAAAAATTTTTTTTTCCATATTTCAGCTGTTATACATGTACACATGGGCGTATTTGCGTATATGGAGGCTATGCCCCTAACATGACGGTCTCAAGGATGCATGGATATTCAAAGGGCCAGGCCTTTTACACGTCTTTTGATTAATTTCATACCAAATTGTTGGTGAGGAGTGACTTACTTAACAAGGCAAACAGCAGCCATAACTTTGACAACATCAGTCATCATGCTTGTGTGGTTCGCATCCATTGATCTTGCCAGTAAGGTCAGACCATCCTCACTTTGAAAAACCATGTTAAGACCGTACTGAAAATCAACAATAAGTAACAATCAAAAACAAGGCAAAATGAAGCAGTGTTTTACCTTGTACAGTGGAACCTTGATTTAATGAAGGGCCAAGGTACCATCAAAATTTGTTCGCTATAACGAGGTTTCATTATATCAATGTTCTTTTTCATATATTTTAATAATAATAATAATAATAATAATAATCCATTTATATAGTGCCTTTTCTACAAGATTCAAAGGCGCTGTTTACAAACATTAGATAGAACTAAAAAGAAAAAAAATAATCACAAGAAATTGACATTAAAACTAGACGCTAACTACAAAATAGATAAATGTACACAATAGATAAAAAATCAGATAACAAATAAAAACATCACGATTCATAAGCTCGCATAAAAAGAAATATTTTAAGTTTGCGTTTAAAATCATTAATTGAGTTTGCAGATTTAAAATCCTCAGGTAAGTTATTCCAAAGTTCCGGAGCAGCAACAGAAAAAGCTCGTTTACCATACGAATTGAGATTAAAATAGGGTTTAACTAATAAATTTCTATTAGAGGATCTAAGATTGCGGCTGGGTGTATACAGTTGAAGGAGTTCCTGTATATAGATTGGAGCTCGATCATGTAATACTTTGTAAGTAATTAACATAATTTTAAATATTTCTGGCGGATTTCGCGGTATTTTGGGAATTTCGCGGGATTTCGCGGGTCCGCGACCACGCGAAATATCAGAAGCCCTGTATATAGCATATCCAAATGGCACAGTTTGAGTTTGAAATTAAATCATATAAGTACGGTTTTAAACTAGGAATCAGAGATAATTCACAATCATAATTGATTATAAGGGTTAGGAGACAAAAGAAATTGAGAACCAAAATATGATGAAACCATTTTAATCTGAACAAGAACAGGTCTACGCATTCAGTCTCGCTTGTTTGGAGATAAGATCGAGAAATGAGGAGGCGATTAATTCTACAAGAAATAGGATCTACTCGCTTAAGGTTTTTTACTTCCTACTTTATCGACGCCAATACTTTTTATTTGTTTATGAATTGATTTAGTACGCGCGTTAGCAATGACCGAAAATACGTCTGCAGTTGCAGGCTATATGTGTGTATAAATACACGGAAATTCAAGACCCATTTGCATACAATAGGAGTTCACAACACCCAACCATCGCAGTTTTGCTTATTAAGATTCTTCTTTTTTTGACCACTCAGTGGTGTTCGCTTGTTCCAAAGTAATCATAATTGCTTTCAAGTGATAGAATTTGTGGACTGACACGTTTTGGAAAAGCTCTAAATTCAATCTTTCCTAAGTTTTTTTTTTTCGCTAAACATGCATGCCTTCCATCACGCAACAATTCTTAGTCGCAGTTTCCATGGTCTCGGCAAGGAAGGCCTGGCACAATTACCCCCTTTTATGTCCTCAACACAACAAAAAACGCGTGCAGATTATAAGACTCGCTGATTACACAAGCGAGACTAACTACAACAACATGCCAGAAACACAAAATCCACTTGCAAAAACCTTTTTTGTCATGCTTAACTCAAGAAATGAATGGCAGGGCCTTTTCCAGGTTGTGGTAAATGAGGAATGGAATTCTTTATTTTTATCCCTTGAAATTTTTCTCAAAGTCCTCTCATTAATATTTGTGTTTCCATTGTGATTGCAGCAGGAGAGAAGCTAAATCAACATGCCATGTAAATGTTTCACACTCCATAATAGTAATCACCCTATTCAACATCAAGGTTAGCCTGCGAAAACATCCGTTTCTCCTCGCTCTTCGCCACTAGAGACGTTTTGCACGGAGTAACGTCTGCAACTCAGCGACAGAAATTCCATACCGATGAGGTAAAATCTGTCCGGAATCCGGTCAGAGTAGTTACATTGTTTTAGCTATTGTTTACGAATGACAGTCTTGAAGAAAAAAAGACAAAAGGCCACAGAGGTCAAATGTAAATGTAAAGAATCTCTGACAAAACAGTCAATATTTGTGGAATATAGTGTTCTCTAGAAGAAGTGTATTTGAGTTTTGCTAGGGCTCTCTGGCAGATGAACACAACACTTTACCAAAATCGACCAGAGGACACATAAAATTGGAAAAATTTATATTTGGGACCCCATGACTACCAGATTTATTATGTAAACATTGATTTGCGTCATCAGTATGGAATTTCTGGCGCTGAGTCGCAGACGTTCCTCCGCGCGAAATGTCCTGAGCTGCAAAGAGTGAGGAGAAACAGATGTTTTTGCAGTCTACATCAAGGTCTCATTCACCTTCTTAATCAACTTCATTTTCTTCTTTAATTGAAGAAATCGTCACTGTATTCCGAATTGAAGCATTCACTCACTCCCCCAAAAGAGTAACATTAAGAATCTCGAAATCAACGAAAACGAAAATCATTACCTTGTTGTTCATGAAAGCTTTTAAGCATTTCACACATTCATGCTGTATTCTTTTTTCCACATTTCCCTCCTTGTCACAAGCATCTCTTAAGTGTTTGAGCAAAATCTTCATTCCATTCTCACCAAACTCCTGGATCCAGCTTTGAAACAATCAGAAAATAGTTAGTCTCCAAATGAGCCATAATTATGGCTATAAAGAGGCCCTGCCAGGATAAATTCCAACAAGCAACATGGCCCAAAAAGTAGTGACAGTGTGTAAAATGAAATCGCGACAAGAGACAACCTCCCCCGGCCAAATCACAACAGTGACGGCAAAGCCGACAATAAGCGATAAGCATTTATAAACACCGACACGAGACGTTTTAAAATTCAGACAGGCGACATGGGACCCACCCCTGGCAGGGCCTCTATAAATTGAAAAAAAATTCTTAGGAATAAAATTATATGAATATTTGAGATGATGGCAATACACTGTCATACATGTACTTTCATGCACATAAACTGCAGATACAGTATAAGATGGCTTACAGAATCAGTAGGTTAACAAATAATGAAAAATAAATACCATATACAAGTTTGTTGATATGTGCACAGTGACCAAAGTAGCCGAAGCTTTTGTGTTGGACATCTGACATTAACATGATGCAACGTATAATAGAGGAAGACATTGGCAACACAAAAACTGTTTGCTCTGAGACCTAATTTTTTTCACTTTTATTTACAATGAATTAATGTCATAAACATAAGTTTGACCCATTCGCCCCTGAACCGCCTGTAACCGCCTGTGCGGATCCAGGTCCTTTCTACCCTTTGTGACGTCATCAGTTTCAATGGTCAAGGACAACTTTCTTCGCTAGCTTGTGCAGAGTGAAGAGATCTTTCAAACCATGCAAGAATGAGCACAATTCAGTCAAGGACACCGGAGAAAGAAGCAAAAAACCACGTGACATTGACCTGAAAATCTCAATGAAAATCTTGTTCCATTACCCACCTACCTTTCCTTTCACCTAATCCTAAGATCCTAAAAGCTTTCCTAAAAACTCTTCCCACCAAATTAAAGCCTACTAAATGCCCAGCAAGAGAAAAAAAAATGAGGCAAGAAAAGTGAAAAAAGAAGGGAGGAGAGAAAGTGAAAGTCAAGACTGCTGTGTCACTTTTAAACCTAAATTTTGCTTTCTGCGCATGCCCGAACTTCTCAAGCTGATATTTTGCATCTGGATCAGAAGGCCGCGAAGTGTACGACCTGTAAAACGGTTTGTGGTAAGTTTTAGCTCTTTATAGCACAACAGTGACCAGAAAACCACTCGACTAGCTTCAAAACGCGTTTTTCGGCAAAATCTCCAGGAGCAAATGGGTTAAATGAAGTTAAATTTATTTAACACAGTTAACAATGAGGAGGGGGGCGGGTGTGGTCAGTAGTCAGTGTTTTGGCTCAAGCGCAGTCAGCCTTGCTTGCATCACCTCTATGTGCTCAGTACAGTATTTTTCTGGTGGCCACTCTCTTCATTTAGCCTTTGGATTATTCTTTTACCCCCATCCCTCCTCCCTTTATTTTTCCACTAATAAATCAGTTTGACAGGTGCCTGGTTCCATTGGTGTGGGGGCTTATGGCTGGAGGGCGTGGGTCTACCAGTTATGGGGGTGTAACACTATCTAGGGGCTGGCTGTGCCAAAAGTGGAAACCCCTGGACATCCCAGGAACCCACCTACACTAAGCAACGCAGTTGTTAATATAAGTTTAACGAAGACTACTTAAGACAATATTATAAAGGGGGATCAGCTCACACCCTACTATAATCTGCACTCTCGGATGTGGCCTACAAAAGGAGTTTGTATTGAGAATTAAGTTGGTGACTACAGAATAACATTTAGAATGAAGATGAAAATTTATTAGTCTGGCTTGCATAGCAGTGAGACTCATAATCTGCAAGCCGTTTTTTCTTCGTATTTAGTACACAAAACGGGAATCATGGTCCCAGGTAATCCTTGCAGAGACTTAGTGAGGAAACTGGGAATAAGAATCATTGTATGACCAAAGCCACACATGTTTCGCGAAGAAAGCTTAGGAAAGATTAATGCGATTAAGAGTTTTTTCAGAACAGGTCAGGTCACAAATTCTATTGCTTGAAAGCTTGATTAATTTGGAACAAGTGAACACTTCAGTGGTAAAAAAACGAAGAATCTTAAGTAGCAAAACTTTGATGGTGAGGATAACTGGTCAGGTGTTGTAAACTTTCATTGTATGCAAATGAGTCTTGTGATGAGCATGCAGTTTATTTTAGGTGATTATTGAAATGACACACCATTTTGATCTCTGGCAATGATGCAATTTCTCTAGAATCAAGGCCCTTGAGCTTTCATGTATTTATACACGCGCATAGCCTGCAACTGCAGAAGTATTTCCAGTCGTGAGACAGTCAAAAAACACTTTCCTGGCCACTACATTCAAAGTTGAAGAAAATTCCAGGACTTTCAAGAACTAGCACCGGGACTTGAGTACTTTTCAAGGAAAAATAGAATTCAAGGACTTTTCAAGGACTTCCCTTAAATTCAAGGACTTTTCAAGACTGTGCCAACCCCGTATTTTGCACTTAAAAAACCCTCCAATCATGGCACAGACCTCCACTTTAGAGTTAATAGTATAAAAATATTTACAAGGCTGCCACCAAGGGCCAAGAGCTGGGAATTTCCCGCAGCTGCTATGAAGATAAACCCTGGTTACTTTCATAGGAAACACATGAAAAATAGGGCCAAAAAAACTTTCCAGCTGTTCAATTCCCTGTGTACTAATTTCATGTACCCAGCAACTTGAAATCTTAGTGTCCTAATAATAATAATAATAATAATAATAATAATAATATTTACCCTTGGCATTATTTATAGCACTACTGGTAGTGGGGCCGAGCAAATGCCTGAAGCAAATAATTATTCAAATCGAACTAAACAGGGTTAAGAATCCCAACTGGCAGGAGGCAAGCCAGCTGGCTATTCACAAGTGTGGTCGAGGATTTGAACTCAGTACTACTGTGAACAAATCCAGCTAGTGGTCAGCATGGGACTTGAACTCGGGGCCTCTGAATTGCAAGTCCAGCACCCTAACCACTCGGTCATGCCGCTTCCCTGTGTCCTGCAGATAGCCTTGTATTTAACGTAGAAATTAAAGTTTTCCAGGGCCCCCAACATACCTGAGTGGTCTCCCTGTAAGAGAGACTCGGACAGACTGTAGTGACTTCAGTAGATGCTCTCCTGACACATCATTTCTACCAAGTTCCTTAATATAATCATCTGGAGACGACAAGCCAGCATGAGATGTTTTCTGTTTGTCAAAAAAAAACACTCACATGTTATTTTATAATGTAATTTTTCTCAAGTGAAAGGGTTAGACTGACAGAGCCTTACTTCACTCATTGTCTCCAGGTCAGTTTGAGCTCCAAGCAAAAATATGATGACCAATATTTTCCCCACTAGCCCAGCCCTGTCCAGTCACCAAATATTTGGTAGCCTCGTTAAAACGCCCCACAGCTAGCTGGTTAAAAATAGCTTAATAATACTCCATTATTCAAAAGCAGATAGTAACTTAAGAGTTACAATGCTGTAGCCCATTGAAAGATTAAGTCTCTCTAATGAATAGCCTGCGAACCGAAGACGCATTTCCGGTCGTCGCTTCTCTCCCTCCGAAAAATAGCATCTGCGAACCCGAGCGACAAAACAATTTCCGTGATGTAAAACCTCTTGTTTTGATGTAGGCCAATCAGATCAAAGGATAGAATACAGCTCGAGTGACTCCTCGCGACCTCGCGCGCTGAAGTGTCTTGGATTTTGGAGAGAATTACCAAATACGCTTTGGAACGTGAATTTCATGACCATAACAAGGTTTGCTGCAACGTTGAATGCTGACTTCTTTATGAAGCAACTGCTTCTTAAGCTATGTATGTGATGTGGGCCTTTGGTTTCCCTTTATAAAATACGGTAGTACGTGACATAAACGAAACCTGGACAAAATAATCGCTACAGCGAAAGGAAAGCAACATAGCTTAATGACATCGCGCTCAGACTTATTTATTTCAATTTAACCAGCGCTGACAAAAGGTGGTGAATCAATTATACAGGCACATCATTGACTGATACAGAAATCTCTAACAATCGCTCGTATATATTCTAGTATCGCCACAACACAATGATCTGAAATATTATAACCCTGGGCCAGACCCAGCGTGATATAAATAGTTATGGCAGTAAATAGATCATAGTCAAAATGACATTTCAGCTACGACGCTTCTACTCATCTCACAAAAAACTATGGAAATGAGGACCTTGAAAAGAACATGTATTTAAAGAAATATACCGGAACAAATATAAAATGCTTTCGATCTGATCAAAGTTCTATCTGAACCAAGAAGCAACCACGCATGGGAAATCAATTACCACATGTCCTGCCTTTCAAAGATAAAGGATATCTAATACAAAATATCTAAAACAGCACACGACAAACTATCGAAGAGTTCTCCAAGGCATACTTTCCTGCCAGGAACCAGAAAGGAACAGAAGCAACAAATGGCATGATGCGTCTACTGTCATTAGGACAGTTATTGTTTCGAATATGATCAAAACAACTACGTCTGATAAATCATTGACTCCGTAGGCAAATAGATGAAGATGTCCTCTAATCTTTTCTTCGATATGAATCCTCTTGATACTTATTTCGTCAATCAGTCCCACAATCCTGGCAAATTAACTTTCGTAAACGCGTCGTTCTGAGAAAAAAGGACGGCTACTACACAAGCCACGTCGTCCTTTCAATTTCGACTTGAAAACATATCCATCGCGCACGATCCTGCGAGAAGTCTCGCGAGTTAGTTCCTTGATTTTAAGAGCTAAACCGTGATTGGCTAAAAAGGTTTTATGTCACGGAAATCGTTTCGTCGCTTGGGTTCGCAGACGCTATTTTTCGGAGGGAGAGAAGCGACGACCGGAAATGCGTCTGCGGTTCGCAGGCTATCTAATGAACAGCCAGCATTATTTCCTTAGACAAGAAAATTTACTCCACTTTGTCTCTCTTCACCCAGGTGTATAACTGGGTACCAGAGACATACTGCTGGGGGGTAACCCTGCGATAGCCTAGCATCCCGTCCCAGGGGGAGTAGCAATACCCCTAGGTTTGCTTCATGCTACGGAAACCAGAAATAAGCTCTGGCCATTTGGGCCTTTGGCTCGTGCACGCCTTTACCTTATGGGGACATATAAAATCAAACCAAATGTCCGGAAGTACTCCCTGATCCCAAACAATGAATTTGAATTATGTAAATTTCCTTATGTGCATCTAACTCCCTTCCGAATGATTTAAAAACAATCAGCTACTGTGACAAGTCACAAATGTGCAGTATTGTGACATAGTCCCTTTAAGTTTTCAGTTTCATTTGGTCATTACTAGCTGTTTTTCTTATCCTGTTTTCTTTTCTTTTTTTTGGCAGTTTTGAGGATTTTCTCAGCTACCTTTTCTCATTCAAAGAAAATATATGCATCTTACCTGTGAGGCCATTTGTCTCCTCTTAAAGTTACAGAGCATCTCAACCTTTGTTTCCATGTCTCTGTTCCGAATAGGTTCCTTCAAACTTTCTGAGAGATTCATGTCATCCTGCAAGACAATTCAAACAACAAATTACACTATAGTCAACAAATAAATAAAGATAACCTGACCATTTTCGGGTCAACATTACATGTACATGGTTTTTTGCTCCAGCCTCCTTAACAGAATGGAGCTCATTCTGGTATGGTTTCAAGGATCTGTTCGGCCACAAGTTAGTTGACATAATCCTAGACTGTCAAAACTGATGCTGTCACAAGAGGTCAATGTTCTCCCTAAATTTTAGCTCAGCAGGTAAGGGACCATTCGCTTCCAGTAAGGCAAAAAATATGCACCAGAGGTGTACTTTCCTGTGGGGAAGGGGGGTAGTGGAGTGAGGGACATGGCCCTGCCCTTGCCAGGAAATTTAGGAGCTAAGTGAAATGTCACTCCCTCATTTTAAGCCCTATTTTATGCAAATTGGCCATTTTTATCTTTAGACAACAATTCAAAACGTTTGATTCCAATAACTTTACTCTGTCTTCAATGGTCTTTTTCTAAAATGTGTGGCCTATAAAAAGAAAAGCTGAGTATACTTCAGTACTTTTACTTATATATTTATTCATTTTCCTTGTGAGAATCAAATCGGATCACAGCTTACTTTCCTAAAATATATCTTCATCTTAAATTCATGATTAATACAGCTCGACCAGCTTTAAACCTAATCTACATGTACTCGCAGAATTTCATGGAAAAATGGTTTTAAATATGATAAAAAATATTTTTCCTGTAAATCAGGAATCAGCAGCGTGGCAAAGTGGTGTAGAAGTCAACCAAGCATAAAAGTGGTATGGTTTTAACTACGTTGAACTGTTTTCCTTTCTTTGTTGGTTGTTGTGGCTTGTTTTTCCTTTATTTATACTTTTAGCAGTTATCCTACTTGTATATCTAGTGTACTACATGTACAGTGGATCTCGAGTGTGCTTAATTGTCAAGAGCAGTAATCGTTACTCTGTAAAGTAGATTTCGTACAGTAGCAGTTTGAGAGCTTTTGAGAAAGTTCAAATATGTATAAACAAGTGACAGAACTGTTCCAAAGTCATTGAAGCAAGACATTGCTACCACCCTGAACAGCTGAAGACGACAACAATAATATTATTATATCACTTCTGGAGCGTTTCTTTCCTACCCATTTTGTCAAAAAATATGTGTACCAATATTTAGCAGAGCCTTGCCTTTTGTCCAGTTTCTAATCTATATAAGACAAAATGCCCCCCCGCAACAGCTTATTGTACCATAAATATGCGAGCAGTTATTTTTAAGACGAATGTTACTCGTCTATATCCGACGGTATTGTACAATTATAAGTGATCGAAACCACAGCTCATTTATGAATATTCCACATGATGAACTGATATATTTTACTTCTCAAATCAGCTCATGTTTAGATCATAGCACCGTCGGAAATCTGGCTGATTAGTAGTTTGCATCATGAATAAAGCAATAACAAGTACGAATAATAACTAAACGCAGCCTTCATTGTGAAATGCACAGTAGCATTACTAAATCTCGTTTAATCCCGATGTTATGAACAGATGTAGCGTATCGATTAATTTGAAATAATGAATCAGTCCAATGTTGCTAAATATCTACTGTCATCACGTTTTACCGTGACTTAAATGAACGAGTTATTATCGACGACTGTTCGGACTCATGAAAACGCAGGGTAAACTTTCAAAGTAAGTTGTGACAAGTCGTTATCCGTCTGAAATATAGGGTAAAGAGGGTATAAGGAGATTCGTGGGTCATCATAGAACCCAAGTATTACCAACCGGGTAAAATAAAAGGTCAGTCACCTTCCGAGTATTTTGAAAACAATTCAACAATTTCTTGAACGTAGTTTGAAAGTAGGCATATATACCCGCTATCTCAGCTCGATCATAGCATTACACCGCGCTCCAGTTCTTAACTTTTCGAACAAGGTTAGAGTAGTGCGATTTAGTACATACCAGCATCTTATCAAACATTTTGGAGAATTCGTCTGGAGGTAGCTGTCTTATTCGTTCTATCTCCTCCTCCATCTCCTGGTCAAAAATTGGCTCTTCTTGTGTGCTCTTCAGACGCTCCTTGGCCTTGTGGCCGTTGATGTCCTTATCTCGACCTCTCTTCTTTTCCTTTCGCATGGATGTGATGCGATTTAGCTAGAAACGATCACACATTATATCAATTATTGCAGCTCTCCCAGCGACAGACTTGTTTTCCTAAGCGCAGAGCTATTAACGAGCAACAAGGGAAATAAACACAAGCAACATCGATAGGTGCGAGAGCACAAGACTTACCAAGCCGCCACTTTCTTTCGGCGTATTGGCTTGTAGCCTGTCACCCATCTTGGATCCAAGCTCTAAACAATAAAAAAACGCCCTTTGTTCCAAAATAATACTTTTACATGTCTTGATTGCCTCTTTACGGCAAAAACATAATTGCGGACAGAATGAAGGGAAAACGACTACAACCTACGCATGCGTACGCTCGTCCTTTCAATGACTCCCATGAAACATTTCGGGTAGAAATAATTTGCGTGACTCGGCAAAATCAGTTCTAGTCACTGTTAAGTGATCCATGGCTTGGTATCGGTATCTATCTGCTAAAATTTCTACCTCGTAAAAATTCAATTATAATTTACAGAACCTTAAACAACTACAAAAGGGAAACATTTTCACTGTTTCCATACTCTCCATCACACACGTAATCACTGTCACGCAACATTAAACTCCCTACTGGCCCAAAAAATTCACGAGTCTGTTTTCAGTCGATTGTCTAGAAGCAAGAGGGAATGAGCTAGATCATTCTCTCTTGCTAAAAGATAGATCTTAGAAAAACTTCGAAGGTTTTTTCTGTCTTTCATAAAAAGTAAGTGAAAAAGAAAAATACCATCAGAAAAAAATCGTGATGCGTTCTAAATTAGTCATAGTTATTGTCATCAACGAAAATAATCCTTTTCCTTAGTCAAACAATGCCCTATTGAATTGTTTCCTGTTATGCCAGCACGCAATAGTATGACTTGCAGACGATCATTACCTCACATACCGGTAAGCAGCTTATGTAAATGACGTGACCGACACCTCCTAGAATTTCCGGATTTAATTTCCGGATTCTAGAAGATATCAAAATATGAAACAGCAACCTGCTCCTTACGGCAAGGCGATGAAGAAGTAAACAAAAAAATAAAACGAAAAAACATATACAGTGAAACCTGTATTAACCGGACAACGCATTGAGCGGACACTCTATTAAGCGGACAGTAACCGAAGTCCCAAAATTTATTTCCCTTATTTCCTTTAAACAAAACCTTTAATAAGCGGACACCTCTAGTAAGCGGACGCGGACACCTAAAAAGTACCTGAAATGGTCATTTCTATTGTTGTCAACCTGTATTAAACGGACACTTGTAATTAAAATCCACCACCCAACATGCCAGTCAACGAAAATGCGAAAGATTGCCTCGAATTGCCACCAAAAAATTTTTCGATTTTTACTTTCAAACACGTGACTTGACGAACTTATTTGATTGGTTTCACAGTACAGTATTGCTTTCCATTTCGTTTTCCTTGTATAGAGCTTGTTTCACTCATTTGATTTCTTCAAATTTGAGTCCCAATCTATCTATATCTTTGGGCGGAGCACTTAGTCCCCAGGGCTCTCCCCCCTTTGGGCGGAGCACTTAGTCCCCAGGGCTCTCCCCCCCTTTGGGCGGAGCACTTAGTCCCCAGGGCTCTCCCCCCCTTTGGGCGGAGCACTTAGTCCCCAGGGCTCTCCCCCCCTTTGGGCGGAGCACTTAGTCCCCAGGGCTCTCCCCCCCTTTGGGCGGAGCACTTAGTCCCCAGGGCTCTCCCTCCCCCCCCAGGGCTCTCCCCTTTGGGCGGAGCACTTAGTCCCCAGGGCTCTCCCCCCCTGGGCGGAGCACTTAGTCCCCAGGGCTCTCCCCTTTGGGCGGCAGGGCTCTCCCCTTTGGGCGGAGCACTTAGTCCCCAGGGCTCTCCCCTTTGGGCGGAGCACTTAGTCCCAGGGCTCTCCCCCCTTTGGGCGGAGCACTTAGTCCCCAGGGCTCTCCCCTTTGGGCGGAGCACTTAGTCCCCAGGGCTCTCCCCTTTGGGCGGAGCACTTAGTCCCCAGGGGGGCCCCCTTTGGGCGGAGCACTTAGTCCCCAGGGCTCTCCCCCCTTTGGGCGGAGCACTTAGTCCCCAGGGCTCTCCCCCCTTTGGGCGGAGCACTTAGTCCCCAGGGCTCTCCCCCCTTTGGGCGGAGCACTTAGTCCCCAGGGCTCTCCCCCCTTTGGGCGGAGCACTTAGTCCCCAGGGCTCTCCCCCCTTTGGGCGGAGCACTTAGTCCCCAGGGCTCTCCCCCCTTTGGGCGGAGCACTTAGTCCCCAGGGCTCTCCCCTTTGGGCGGAGTCCTTAGTCCCCAGGGCTCTCCCCTTTGGCGGAGCACTTAGTCCCCAGGGCTCTCCCCCTTTGGGCGGAGCACTTAGTCCCCAGGGCTCTCCCCCCTTTGGGCGGAGCACTTAGTCCCCAGGGCTCTCCCCTTTGGGCGGAGCACTTAGTCCCAGGGCTCTCCCCTTTGGGTCCTTAGGGCTCTCCCCCCTTGGGCGGAGCACTTAGTCCCCAGGGCTCTCCCCCCTTTGGGCGGAGCACTTAGTCCCCAGGGCTCTCCCCCCTTTGGGCGGAGCACTTAGTCCCCAGGGCTCTCCCCCCTTTGGGCGGAGCACTTAGTCCCCAGGGCTCTCCCCCCTTTGGGCGGAGCACTTAGTCCCCAGGGCTCTCCCCCCCTCGGGCGGAGCACTTAGTCCCCAGGGCTCTCCCCCCTTTGGGCGGAGCACTTAGTCCCCAGGGCTCTCCCCCTTTGGGCGGAGCACTCTCCCCAGGGCTCTCCCCTTTGGGCGGAGCACTTAGTCCCCAGGGCTCTCCCCTTTGGGCGGAGCACTTAGTCCCCAGGGCTCTCCCCTTTGGGCGGAGCACTTAGTCCCCAGGGCTCTCCCCCTTTGGGCGGAGCACTTAGTCCCCAGGGCTCTCCCCCCTTTGGGCGGAGCACTTAGTCCCCAGGGCTCTCCCCCTTTGGGGCGGAGCACTTAGGGCTCCCCAGGGCACTTAGTCTCCCCCCCTTGGGCGGAGCACTTAGTCCCAGGGCTCTCCCCCTTTGGGCCCCAGCACTTAGTCCCCAGGGCTCCCCCTTTGGGCGGAGCACTTAGTCCCCAGGGCTCTCCCCCCTTTGGGCGGAGCACTTAGTCCCCAGGGCTCTCCCCCTTGGGCGGAGCACTTAGTCCCCAGGGCTCTCCCCCCCTTTGGGCGGAGCACTTAGTCCCCAGGGCTCTCCCCAGGGCGGAGCACTTAGTCCCCAGGGCTCTCCCCTTTGGGGGCGGAGCACTTAGTCCCCAGGGCTCTCCCCTTGGGCCACCCCCAGGGCTCTCCCCTTTGGGCGGAGCACTTAGTCCCCAGGGCTCTCCCCCCTTTGGGCCCCTTTGGGGAGCACTTAGTCCCCAGGGCTCTCCCCCCTTTGGGCGGAGCACTTAGTCCCCAGGGCTCTCCCCCCTTTGGGCGGAGCACTTAGTCCCCAGGGCTCAAGGAAAGATAATGTAATTAAACTTACCTGGTTACTTACCTTTTGTGCTTTTTTTGTATTTTTCTCGATAGTAGGTATGCTCTAGGTGGAGTTTTGTGATACTTTTTCGTCTTTATTTGTCTTTTTAGTTGATGGTTTAGTCTGAGGAATTTAGCTTTTGGTAAGGTTTCGTTTTGTCGACGAAACCGAACTTTCTTTACTGAATTTAAAAGAGTAAACTTCTTTTAGATTGGTATAGTTTTCTCTGTCAGGCCTTAAGAGGTTTAATTTATATCTAAATACAACATGCGGTTGTATTGGGGTATATACCAAACCAGAATTGTCAGAGAGCAAAAACGTCATGTGAAAATTATTGGATAGAAAGATGCAACATGAAAAGAAATATAGTTTTTTTCTCGAAACGTTTTTAAAAATGATGACCGAGTGCGTGATTTTCCATAGTTTTAGATTCACCAACAGGTTATTATTATGGCCACTGAATTGAAACAGTAGGTTATTATTTCTAATAATGATCTTCTGTGCCACCTCAACGACCTGTTCTTTAAATTTATTTAATTAATAACCTGTTTAAAACTAATGGAAAATTGCATGAAGATCCGACTAACCGACTGAGTTGTACAAAAAAATGAACTTACCATAGGTTTGCTATATACGGAATAAATGACAGACACAAATGAGTTGGCTGCATATCCTTGTTAAGGACCGTGGCAGTACTTTTATTGTTATTTTGAAGACTTTCTTGCAAGGCAAATTATCCTGCTTTTCTTTATGGTCAGGCGGTACCTGTTAAAAAATGGAAAGTGTTATTTGTTGTTGTAAATACTACCGTTCAAATATGTTAAGAATTGCACTCCGAATTAATCTTATTCTCTTGGTTAACTGGTTTCTCGTTACCTTCAGTTCTATTCACATCTGTCTTGCCCCTCGGACGACTATTATCTTATGTCAGCCTGAACCGTCCCGGGAAGCATTGTAATTCTTTTCCGGTGCAAGCTAAGCACTCTACGCCAAAATTACCAATAGTTGGTTTGTTGTGATCACGTTTGTGCGGCATAAAAGTATAATTTACCTTCAAATCGTACATTAAACAAGGTCGCGGTTAATCAAGTATAGAAGCATATAGTCTGAGTCAGAATAATAAAAAACTGTCCAACGTTTGAAGTTTATTCAGTATAAGTGAAACCACAGAAGTGAACACTTCTTTAACCAAAGCGAAAAATTCTAACTACATAGACCGTCAAAAAAATAGCCCTATTTGACCCCAACAATCGCAACTCTCGTTTATCTTGTTGACTTTACGTAAACCGGCTTTATTGCATTTTTGTCTCTCCAGTTCAACATTCATCGAGCCAACGGCAACATAACAAAGGGACAATGCATGTTCACAGGTAACTTCGGGCGACAATAACACACAGAGGGAAGAACTATATACCTGCCAACTCTCACGCCTTAGTCGTGAGTCTCACGCCTGCGGGTTGAAAACTTCGATCTCACGCCGGCTCACGCCTGCGGGCCAATTTCTCACGCCTGATTGATAAATGTGAGTTGTTGCCGCCCTGCTTGACACAATTTCCAAAAATATGTTAACTCAGACCCATGTAAGGAACGAAAACCATGTGTAAAATGAGTAAATGGCAATACCTTCCTCGCGATCTCTGATTTTTTAAGTGAAAAGCACTGGGAGCGAGCTCGCCTTTGGCAGACTTCGGCAGACTTCGGACGTCTTCGGAAGACTTCGGACTTCTTCGGGAATCTTCGGAAATGATCGTGTCGTCTTCAAAAATCCCAGCACTCCCACGATAAAAATCTCACGCTTATATCTCGGAAAAAGTTGGCAGGTATAGAACTATGACAGAAAATCAGTTATGTAAAGTCTAAAAGAAGAATTTGTTTCTGCAGCAAATATAACCAGTAAGAACCGTTAAAGCAATTTGAACGCTTATCACCGTTTCTTTAAATTGACTTATGATTTTTTTCAGAAGAGAAAGTAAAGTGTAACGTAACCAAAAGTTAAAGTTCACCTAAGAACAAACCTGCTATTTTCGAGGAGGCAGAAGAGAATCTTGACTTTCATTCCAGACCAGAGATGGCTTGGCTGAGATTGGTCTTCACTACACCGCAGGCAATGCAAGGTACGGAAGTTTCTGGCTCTAAACACAGTTAAATCAAGTTGAAATTGGTGTCTCCATTTATACGGTCGCTCGATTAAAATTCAAACCAGTACGAGAAATGTTTTTGATAAATCTTTTCTTGAAATTGTACGTGAGAAAAGCACGCATTCTATCCTTTAACAATAGGCAATCAAAGCATAGATTGGTCACATTCAAAGAGAAAAGTTTGCCGACTCGATCGATTACATAACGTAGCTCTTGGTTGAAAACAGTATACTAGTGGATAAGCATGGGACTTGACAATACGTTGAGAAAAACAGTACTCAGTTCATCAATAAACAATTATACTACCGGATGAATTAGACGCATTCAGGAAAAAAAATGCCGACCTGATTAAAACTTGACAAATCGATGACAAAACTGGCTAGTGAATGAGTAGACAATAGGCCTTTCGCCCCAAGAGAACTTGAGAACAATGCTAATGAAAAATTTTGGAGGGACAACAAAGAGTATTATGGTATTTTTTAAATAGGCCTATCGCCGTGTGAATTACCAAAAGCCAGCCCAGAATAAATTTAAAAGTACTGGGAAAGAAATTTTCGTGGTAGACAATAAAAGCGAAGAAAGTGGAGGAAAACTAGTGTTAAAGAATTGCAAGCACTGGAACCATTTTGACTCCTAACATTTCATTGCTCAGTGATGTTGATCACCACAATCAGTTTGACAAAACCAATGAATATGCGAAGACTACAATAGTTTGTTTTGCACCCGCTTGTCACGACTAAAGTGAATACGCTCTATAATAAAAATATCAACTTTGAACGTGACATCAGTGACGCATTCAAGAAGAAAAGAATCGATTAAAACTTGACAAATTGATGACAAAAACTAGCTGGTCAGAATGAATAAACTTCAAACTTGATGATTGCCGTATTCACCAGCTCTTAATAAACGAAAACGTACTGGGAAAGAAAAAGTATAAACTTTCAAAACTTCTTGATAAAAATTGCTTGTTGAGAAAGGTCCCTTTTATCGCAAGGTCACACAAAAATTATTTTGACTCTCAACATCTGATTCCTCAGTGATGATAACCAATTTACAATGGATACAAACACGTTTTGAAAATCACTGCCGGAACAGAAACCAGTATTATTGTAGTGGTAACAAAAACCGATACCGATAGAACGCCTCTTGAACTCATTAACAATTTATCGCCAAACAAACAAACAAACAAAGGCATATTACTGACGCAAAAGACAGTGATTATGGGAGAACTACATCACACACTCAAAATGTGCCCCTGTTATGCTAAATGCTCCATTATAATTAGCATAAAACTGCTCCTTTCGCATGATTTTCTTCGCTCTATTGTT